AACCAATCAATACCATCAATACGTCGTACAAATGAAAATGATATGAATAATTCAAATCATTCTTGTTGTTACTGTTATTCCTGTTTAAAACCATTAAACAATTTTTATGAAAATAAGAAGACAAAAATTTATAATTCTACACCAAAACAATCATTAACAAATGATGATGATGATGAAGATGACAAATTATCTTCCAATGATACAAATCATCGTGCAACAATGATGATGACATCAAATACAAGTTTACGTGCTATGGAAAATTCAAATCATAGTAATTTATTATCATCATGTCATCATCATCAATCTACTAGTGGAAGTACACAGAATCCATCACATGATGTCAATCGTCGTGAACGTATTCGTTTTATGAAAGAACAAAAAACAGCTAAAACCTTAGCTGTTGTTGTTGGTGGTTTTATTCTTTTTTGGTTACCATTTTTTATTATGTATGTTATACCACCAGAAACATATTCATTTAATGTTCAGACAGTTACATTAATAACATGGCTTGGATATTTTAATTCTGTTATTAATCCATTTATTTATGCCTATTGTTCAAAACAATTTCGTATGGCTTTTTGGAATATAACATTTGGTATGTGTATTGAAAGATCCAATGGTTTATCACCAATATCAGTGAAAAATAAACAATTACGTCGACATTATACGAATGGATGATTTTATCACCTTTTTTTTCTTTCTAGTGTATCTGTATATAACTTTATTCTTTCTTTTGTTTGCATCCGGTTATCGTTTTTGGTTTGTTGTTTGCTTTCTTTTATTCTTTTACGTATAAGAAAAACAGAGAAAAAGAAACAATGCTGAATTTTTTCACTCTACATAAAATAAAATAAAAGAACAACTAGCATTATCAGTAAATAATAGTTTGTCTTTCGTTTTTGTTTAGATCTTATATAAAGCGAATAAAGACATTTTTTATTGGCCTTATTAGTTTTACAAAAAAAAATAGTTTTATTAATAATAAATGGTAACGAATAATTGATATTTGGCAAAGAAAAAAGCTTCCTTATGCAGATAGTCAATAGTGAGAATTAAAAATGAAAGTGAAGATAGAAATCCTTTACCCTTGTTTATAAAGTCTATGGAAAATCCTAGAGAAGCGCTTTAGAAAGAGAAACTTCACCATTTCTCTTTTATTTCAATACTTCTAAATGCATTGTTTGTTAGCTGTTAATAGCTCTTTTTATGCAAGGATTTTCGAATGTATATTTTTTAGTCTATAGCTTAGATGAAGTGCCCGTTATTGAAAAATCAATTATAATTCTTTTCTGCAATTTTCTTTTGTGGTTCGATAGACTTTGTCGAGCTCTTCAATTGAACTAATATTTACTAGAGTTTTTATCGAGAAAACCTAGACAATGCTGATACAAATCTGTCTCTTTCTGGATGTAACCGTTGTTCTACAGCTTTCAGAAAATGTTATTTTCAAGATTCTGAATGCAAATGTGCGCCTAAAAACATGAATTAATCCATTTTTTTACTTTCATTCTTGTATTTAGAATCTAAAAATATCACATTGAAAAAGTTGTAGTACAAAAGATATATTCAGAAAAAAAAAAGGTTTTTGAAAAAATTGAGCAGCTTTTTCTCATGAAAAAATGCTCAATCCTTCATACTAGTTTTGAACTTTTTCTAGTAAATTCTAATTTAATTAGAGAAATTGTCAAAACCTATATAATCATCAGCGACGTATCTAGAAATTTTTTTAAGGGGAGGGACTGCTATGGAAAAAAGGTAATTTTTAATTTGTGAAAAATAATAAATCCGGACTTCCCCCCCCCCCCCCCCATTTCAGGTATTTAAGCATGCTAGGGGGAATTGATCCCTCCCTAAATACGTCGCTGATAATCATGCGAGAAAATTTCCTAAAAAAATTTTCATTAATTTTTCAATTACTAGCACTTTACAAGATATGTATGTCACTTCATCATTCTTTACTTAATTTTGGAAGCGTTGTCTTCAATGAAGCAAAATAGAGAAAAGAATGCATTAACACGTAATAAAGTGAAATTTTTATAGAGATTTTCCAAGTTCATCAATATTAAAGGTGCCAATTAGTTTTACAATAGAAATACAACTGATGAATGAAGCGAACAATAAAAACCAACTGCAAAAAAACAGTGTGCTCACTACTTATTAATATGTAATATATATAAAAGTATCCTAATAATGAAAAAGTTTTTTACAATCTTAATACTAGCTACCTGGTAGAGAAAGTAAAATGAAGAATAAAATTTGTTATTTTGATATAGTACCTGTCATTATATCCAGGTTTTTGAATCAAAGCTTTACGTGAGTGACAAAGAAGTGAGAGAAAATAGCTTTCTTTTATTAATGAATACTATGCTTGTATGATGAAAGAGGAACATGAGAAAAATTGAAGAGTAACAATGTTAGTAATTCTCGTTGTTGATCTAGTCAACTTTTTAAAAATGTTATAGACACCCTAAAGGTTAAGTCGGAGCACAAAGCCGATAAAAGACTAAATCAGTATTTCTTTAGATTTTTAGTTAAAAAATCTAGATTTAATTTAATTCACTATTTTACTAGGAAAATGATTATATATTTTCACATTCAGCGACAATGATACATTGTATGTACTCAATGCTATACAGTTTTCCAAATGTAGCACGATGGTTTTAACAGTAAGATTTCATTGAAAATTAAAGAAGATTTAGTTCAAATTGTCAACGACATAATTCGTTTTTGCTCGATTGAAGATAACAAAATTAAATGTTAACTATGTTGTAGACATGGCTATGTTTATAGTTTCATTCATCATCTATATAATCAGTAAAATAAATTATCTATTGTCATTTTCAAAAAGCAATGGGTGTAGTTGTTTTTTGAAGAACTCTAGAATGGAAAGAGATAGGAACCGGCGGTTTTCACTGTTTGAAAGAAGAGACATCACAACGTCTTCTTCTCCAATAGTGCATAAGATGGAATCATTTTAAAATCAACCGTTTTTTATAAAATATCGAAAAAATGCAGAAAAATTATCTGCCGTTGAGATGAAATTTTAACAAAAAGGCATAAAATTTGCTTAAAAGTTAGGAGAAATTCATATTTTTCGAGCGAGTAAATAGAGAATTTTATTTACTTAACATTAGAATATGTGAATATAATCATTCGCCTTATATCTTAAACTATAGATCTGAACTCCCTCTATCTAAATCACATATCAAAACCAAAATTCATCGCAATGACAGACAGTTTTCATGCAGTTTTTGAAATGTTTTGGAGAAATAATTGATTTTAAAACGATTTCATCTTATATAATATTGGACAAAACGACTCTCCGGTTTCATCTCTTTCGAACGGTGACAACCGCAGCTCACTGACTCTTTCCATTCTAAAGTTATTCAAAAAATTGCCACACCCATTGCTTTTTGAAAACGACATTAGATTACAATAAAGTAAGTTGATAGATATTCATTTTTTGTTTTCAGTGGCCTTTTCATTTAGATATAGATTAGCTATGTACAACAGTATTTAAAGAACCTAATAAAAGAATTTCAATTTTTCTACATGATGATCAGTTTAAAAAAAATTCCATGATATAATTTTTAAACTTCGAAATTAAATTAATTCCTGTCTCTACATGTAATAGCATACAAGGAGCTCAAACTTTATGAAACACTCGTCGTTGTTAACAATGATTTACTTGAATAATTAAAAAATGAACTAAACTCTTTGTATTGACTTCACAATAAAAAAAAATACAAGTGGAACAATATGAAAATTTGATATTTCACAAGGCAATTTATTAAAATATTTTTAAGACCAAATGTTAAATTATCTGAATAATATCATATTCCAGACTAGTATTTATCTAGTCATATTCTCATACGGTACATTATCTTTAATCCCATAATATGATGAAAAATGTTGACGTCTGCTCTATTTACCATATCCATGGGAAGACTTTCTATTTATTTTTTTTTTGAAACGTCGTCAAATACATTGCAAGCGAATGCAATATATTGTAGTTGTTCAAACGGAAAATAATTCAATGCAAGATACCCTTTTTATCGACCAAAATATGTAACTAGTTTCCACAGTCGATTAAACTTTTCATTGTAGGATAGACTCGAAGTTTCTTTTTTTTATCAGATTTGTATTTGGAAGTTACAAATATGAGAGAACGAGTTTTTGTATGCCCTGTAGATGAAATACAGTTAGTGCTTCTTTTTTTCACGCTCAAGTTATGCAGCGTATAACAGTGGTGCTAATTAAAAAAAAGTCGTAATAAGCGTAAAATAAAGTGCATTTGAAGAAGCATGCAAATGTTTATGTTTGTGGAAATGTAACCTTCGAAAGAACATTTTCTAAGCTTTTTCATTAAGAAAAAAATTTTAAAAACGAACTAAAAATGCTCACAAGACAAGATTGCATCATGAGTTTGTTCAATAATGAAAATGTTTCTTAGGAAATTAATCTTAGTCTGCGAACGCAAAGAAGATTTTGGCAGCTTCTACTTAATCTGACTCAGATTTCTCATACAGTTTTTCTTCAGTTGTAATAAAGGATCTTCTTCACTTTAAGTCACTGTTGATTTCTGATTCAATGTTCAGTATAGAACACTTTATTTTTTCTTGAAACCATTTTCTAAGTTTCTTTGACTAAGAAAATGTTATTGTTAGCTACCAAAGGCGACAAAAATAGTGTCATTTATACAAGAATTATGATGCATTGCTCAAATCTACTTATCGGATGAAAGGATAAAAATGTGTTTGAGCGTTAACCCTAGCCTACGAACTTTGAGTCTAGGATTGGCTTAAAAGACTACTTAAGCCTTGTGGCTCCGCCGCCTATGCTAGTTTCTTATTGGATTGAATAAAGAACCAGTCGGTTGCTGATGTGTATATATATAGTGTAATGTTTGGAACAAGAGTAAACAATTCATCTTTCGTTCTTATTCTTATTCTTTTCTTTTTGAAGACAAATCAATTGTTGTACTTTTTTTAAGAGATGAAATGAAGTTAGTTGTATGTATTATCATTGACAAAGAAGTCGATGCTTTACTTCTTGTCGAACAAAGTCTTGGTCGAGGATATTGGTTTCCATTTGATGAAATCAAACAAGGTGAAACACGAGCTCTTGCAGCTAAGCGAATAACTAGCAAAGTCAGTCTCTAATATTTGATTTTATTTTTGACTTCTTCATTATTTATCTAGTTATGTCCATACGATTTTGAACTTGTCAATGTACTTAAAATTCGTTGTAGTGATTTATTACCATGTTTACCTAGTACACAAACATATTATCTCATCACGAAGGGACGATCGGTAGTACTTAACTTTTATAAAAAATAAAAAGACTTTTTCAAAAAATCATTAATTTATTAGGCACGTGCGAATGGAACTAATTTAGTAAATTCAATTTGGATGAATTTTGAACGAATGAAAACAGCCATTAAAAATCGAGAATTTCTTGGACTTGAACCCTATTATTTATTAAAGAATATTCTCGAACGTCAACAAGTCAATGGTTGGGGTACATAAATCATTTTTTTTCCTATTTATTAATCAATTTATATATTTGCTTTATTTAGATGATTTCATATCCGGTGGACAAATATTCGAAGAATCAATACTTCAATTTATTGATTGTAAACAACCTGATCCAAATAATCAATTAATTGCATCGCCACAAGAACAACTTATGGGTTCAGCTAAATTTAATACAAAACGTAAATTAGATTCTTATTAATTAAATTTAAAAAAAAAATGAATTGGTTTTTTTTAGTACAAGAACGTATTTTTAAAGAATTTTATTCATTTACATTTCCTAGTGAATATATGAGCTTTCAAGCATTTGTTGAAGCAATGGATAATAAATTATCAACCACGGAAAAAACAAAAATTCAAGCTTATTTTCGTGCTTTTGATGCTCAACAAAAATCTTATTTAACTTATTCGGATTATTTACTTGGTTTGTTTATTTATGTAATTATTTGTGAAAAAAAGAGATTTTGTTTTTTGTTGCTTAGGATTAGCAGCAATGGATCCAAGCACTTCACACGGAGGTAAAACTTAAAATCATTTAATTCATATTAAATGAATGATTTTAGGAGCTCCTGCCGAACAACGTTGTCGATATATATTTCGTTTTTATAATTTAAAAAATAATGGAAATATGTCCATAGAAGAATTTCGGTATGTATTTCTTATTTGTTTAGGAAGAGGAGGGAATGATGCCTTTAAAAAATTGATTTTTTTCGAGAAAAACCTCGATTTCGACATTTATACATATTCTGATAGTCCTTGCAATGAGCTTTAATCTAACATGATTTTTATTGATTGTCAAATAAAGAAGAGTAGTTTCTTTTTCTGATGAGCTTTTTCGAGAAGTCCCCTAGCTCAATAATATGAATTTGCATTATATAGAAACTTTTATAGCTTTACAGTACGAAACTTAATTTCATATATATTTCGATGATGCTGAATTGGTTTTGCATATTTGAGAGAGGGGAAGTGAGTGAGTGAAGGTTGCGAGGAAAATAGACTCATCGACCTGAGTCACACGTACACTCACACTCCATATCTGCATGTGAGAAATGATGAGTAAAACTTTCACGTACGATATACTTCTAAAAGCATTATGATATATTCTTTTGTACTTCATCTAAATAAGTGCTGACGAATAGTGAAAAAAAATTAGATACATTATTTCGAATAGAGACACTTACTCAATCCAAAACATCGTTTTTTGTTGTTCTTAGCATCAGTTTTTTTTTCGAGTGTACCTTTTAAGTAAGAAAACTTCTAATAACGATTCAATATAAACGTAGTAATATTTTTTATTGCAAATAAACAATTAAGGCTGGATAGTAATAGCGTCTAATTTTTGTATCTCTGTTTTGCTGAAATAAAACATTTGGATTTTTAATTTAAAATAGGTTTTCTTTTGCCATGAATTTGATGATTATTCGAAAAAGTTCTTTTTTTTAATTTAATAAAGAGAAATTGAGAAATCAGGCTTTATTACGACCTATATTATAAAATTTCAAAATCACTCTGACATGTTAGTTCGTATCTTTATTCTGAAAACCTTTTCCGCATAGAGGGTATTTTGATCAATGTATTGACTATCACTTGTGAGTGTCTTAGAGATTTAAGAGAGATATTTTATCTATAATCTATTCTGACCAAGATTAATATTCTATAAAATTTTGGTTGAAATCAGATGAAAAATGAAAAAGTTTACTTTTGAGAGGAGAGGATTGTTAAAGCTCAAGAAACCAGTTCAATGATGATATATATACTGAAGGGAGATTATTGTATCTTTATCAATGAGCTTAAATTTTTTAATAGAGAGCTTCATACTGACGTCCAAAATCTCAAAGCTGGCAAAGCAAATAATGATGCTCCGCTATACAGTGAAGTTGTATCTGCTTTTAAGTATGTATGATATTTATTGGTGATGTTTCCTAATAATAAATATATACATGTATAAATTCTAGTTCTTTTAATGTTCAAGCTAATAATCTATTACAATTAACTGATTTTTTAAATTCTGTGGGCCAATTGAAATATCGTGGAACATCTGTCCTATTTCGTCTTAATACAAGTGTACAAGATTTATTGCGAATGTGCAAGTAAAAAGAATTTTTTTACATCATATCTTCGTTTTATTTTGAATTCATTTAAATAAATTTAGACGATATAAAGATGTGAAAACAGATAATCTTAATGATCGAGGTTAGAAAAAAATTAATTTTTGAATAAAAAATAAATAAATAATTTTCTTTCGTTTTTTCGATATTTTTTAAGCTCAGACAACTGTAAATTATGAAATAGCTGATCATTGTGTAACATTAAAAAAATCCGGTACACTTTCACAAGTCGAATCATTACGTTCAATGAATCGCAGCGATCAATTAAGTACAACAACAGAAAATGCATTAAAAAATTTACCTCGATCACCATCAGAAGAAATATTTGATCGAGTAAAGAAATATTCTTTTTTTGTTTCTTATTTTATTTATTTATTTTGTTTTTGATGATAATAGAGAACAGTAGCAACTGATACTCAAGATTTATTACGTTTTTTTGAAAAACGTGACCAAACAAAAGATGCTTTAATGTGGACGCCGAGTACATTTATTAATTTAGCAAAAAATGTTGTTAATTTATGTAGAGAAGTCAGAGACATAATTCGACGTGAACCACGTTGTCTTAAATTAGCATCACCGTGTTATGTACTTGGTGATATACATGGAAATTATCAAGATTTAGTATGTTTTGAAAAATCTTTATGGCGTGCAACACCACTTTTATCACCAGCATCATTTCTTTTTCTTGGTGATTATGTTGATCGTGGTATTCATGGACTTGAAGTAAAGATTTTTAAATGAAAAATTCAAATATTAATTTTTTTTTATTTGGAAAAAATTATTCTTTTAGGTTATTATTTATTTGTTAGCGGCAAAATATCAATGTCCAAAAAAAGTTTTACTTCTTCGTGGAAATCATGAAATAAGAAAAGTTCAACAAATGTTTAGTTTTTACAAGTAAATTATCATCTACAAAAAATTTATTCTTTTGTAAAGACATTGTTACATTGTTATTGAGATATAAATCATTCAGGGCTTTGTAGAAATTGAAATGATAGCTAGAGGACATTTTTGTATACGACAAGATAATACAGAAAATTGATTCTACAGAAAAATAAAAACACATTTTGATCTTTGTACAGACCAATATTATTGAATAAGAACATCATCATGAACCTCGATTACGATAGTCTTTGTAATATGTTAGACTATACTTTTCACTAAACCTTGTTCGATTCAGAAAATTGTCTTATAATCGGTGTTTCTATGAAATTTCCTTTTTTTGATTAATTGAGAAGTTTATGTAGAACATATATTTAGATATTAGAAACATGTTTTACATTCGTGACAAAAATCAATAATTAAGTTTAATTATTAAGTAATCTCTTCATATTAATGAGTGTTGTATAAATCCAAGTTTTGGATATTAGAATATTAATTTTATTTATATCGAATAATTAACTTTTTGTTTATGATAAGAATAATAATAATTGAAAACGTTTTTCGGAGATATCTATCCGCTTGTTCAATTCATGTTACTTTTGGTCTTATGTTTTTTATTATTTGCAATACGTATCTGCCTATTCCTTTTCCCTTATTCTGTTTTCTATAATAGTGGAACGGACGATGAAATTACATAGTTTTATCGACCAATATTACCGTTCTGTCATTCCGTTTCACTATTATAGAAAATAAAATAAGGAAAAAAGAATAGGCAGATACTTATTGTAAATAATAAAAAACATAACACCAAAAGTAACATGAACTGAAGTAGGGGATAGATATCTCCGAAACGTTTTCAATTATTAGTATTTTTATTATAAACTAAAAGTTAATTATATGATGTAAATAAAATTAATTAGTTAAATATAATTAATATTGTAATATACAAAAACTTGAATTTATATAACACTCATTAACAGGAAGAGATTACTTAATAATTAAACTTAATACTAATGACCTTCCTAAATACATGAGATTAAAAAATCAATAATTCACTCTCAGTTATGAGTATAATCGATTGTACGACTCGTACTCTTGTTTAACTAACTCATCAATACAAATGTTCAGATAAATTGATAGGATCATATAAGATATCCAGAAAATCACTGAACAAATAAAAAAAAGATTATCTCCTTTCTATATTGGTTAAAGCAGCACAAATTTTTACTATTGGTAAAAGCATGTTCATAGCTCATATACATAAGAGAAACACCGTGATATTTTATCTATAGATACTGCATAGTGCTCTAAGAAAAATTCTACAATGATTAGGGTTTCTATTAATATTTGACTAAACTTCAAGTTTAAAATAGCTCTATTTGGTAGAAGTGTCCGTAGGATTCAAGATGTTTGAAAAACTCGTATTTTCGAATTCTGATCTGAAACTTTGTACATATAGAGAGCTTAACTAGACTAGCTTCAAAAAAATTAATTCAGCATTTATAAACAAAGTTTGTTGGAGATATGAGAATTTCAAGATACAGACCCTTTTTCATGAATAATTTCTACAACGTATACTTTTTGAAAGATTCATATCTCGAAGAGATTCGATTCAAAACTTCTGAATTTATTTTATGGACACTAGTCTAGCTGAATTCTTTATATGTACAAACCTGCAAATCAAACTTTGAAAATATGGGTTTTCCAAAAATCTGGGTCCATACAGGCACCTTCAGAAAATGGGTGTATTAATAATTTCAATATCTGAGTCAAATATTAATAGGAACCTAAATCATTTTAGGGCTTCTCTCAGAACGTTATGTACTATCTATAGGTGAAAAATTATTGAAATCGGAAGAGAACAGATAAAAAGCTTCTCTCGTTCGTACATTACCTTATTTTATTTTGTAAATTTAAACTGCTATATACAGAGTGGTTTTTATTTTTAATTATCGAGTTTTTATTGTACTTATTTAGTGTCTTCAAAATTTGTATCTCATCATGAAATTTTCTATATCTAGAGAATGTCTTGGAAAATTTGGTGATATACTTGGTAAAGAAGTATGGGATGCAATCAATGGAGTGTTTGATGTATTACCACTTGCTGCAGTAATTGATGATAAAGTATGTATATAGTTCATATAAATATCTTAATCAATATTTCTTATTTGATATAACAGATTCTCTGTGTGCATGGTGGTATTCCAAGTCCTACATCATGTTCGGGTGATTTTGTTTCCACTGTTAATGATATTATTGTACCATTAAGTGATCCAGAAAATGAATCACCTTTAGCATGGGAAATCATGTGGAATGATCCATTTTCAATTGATACAAATACTGTTGCTCAACTACCCATTGGTGCTAATGCTGGTTTTTTTAATAATACACGAAGAAGTACTGGAAATTATTTTACATGTGAAGCGCTTATGGCTTTTCTTGATAAAAATAATTTTTCATATGTTATACGTGCTCATGAAGTACAACAAGTTGGCTTCAAGGTATGTCAAATATCTTGATTTTGTCTTTAAAAATTAAATATTTGTTTTTACTTATTGGAAAAACTCTAGGTACAATTAAGTGGCCGTCTGTTAACTGTTTTTTCATCGTCTCACTATTGTGGTGGAACAAATGAAGCCGCAACTGTACTTGTTGATTCAGCTAAATTACGATTGATCAGACTTGATACAGCATAAAAACATTAAGACAAAAAATGACTAATACTTTTATTCCTATACTTCCGCGCTGTGATCTCATCGATTTATCTGTTTTCCTTTCTCGTCTTTATTCATTTACGATGTAACAGTTAGAAGTTTCTTCTATATTGCACGCATTTTTTGTTTGTTTGTTTTGAATCCCTTATTTTTTTACTTGAGCTTACCACAGATTTTTTTTTCTTGTTTATTATCGAAGATGGTTTTGGTATTTGATGGTCCCACCAACGATCAGCATTGTCTGTCTGATAAAATACTTGTATAGAAAAAAGAAAAAAAAAAGACACAAATATAATGAAAAATAATCAAGAAATGCACATGAAAATTTTTCTCTCTTTTCTTTGATGATCCTTGCTGTGCTCATATTTATTGAATGCTAACACATTGTGTCTGAGTGTATGTAAATGTCTGTGTTTGTCTTTTGTTTATGATGGGTGACTTATTCTTTCATGTTTGTTCTTCTTTCTTTTTTTTGTTTTGTGATCATTTCGTGCACATAAACGCGCACACTTGTATGAAATTGTATATGAAATAAGAAATCTAGGTGGGTTTAAAAAAGCAACATGAATGAAATAATTATTTATTAAAACAAATTTTGCAGCCCGATATAACATACATGTAATATCAATCACACATTGAAGATTCATGAATGATCTACAAGAAGTTATTGACTTGTTTTGATGATGTTCGTCTCATGGTATTAGAGTCCAGCAATTACAAGAAATACTTATTACCGCAGTTGAATCAATAGTTCCAGGTTTGAGTTAGTAAAAACAACAAAAAGCTGGTTTAAATTTTAGTTTCTAGAAAGTCTTTTTTGTAATCTACAATCTAGTAATAGTATACAAAATACTTAATATCACTTTTGTTTTTAGACATTTCTAGATTTTATTTTTTCGAATTCATTCATATCTTTTATATTTTGAAAAAGTAATTTCTCCGAAAGATCAAACAAACAAGAGAATGAATGAGAAAATCATGACTGCTAATCAGCTGGATATCTTTTCGTTGATGAAGAATCATCTATTTTAATAAAAAGAAGTTTTTCAAACATTAGCGATATTAGTATACAAAAGTAAATTACAAGAGTTAAACATATTTGTTTATTCATTGTTTAAATATTAGTATGTATGTTATTTGCTTATTTGTTTGTATAAAGACCAGAATTCAACATAGTGAATGAGTGAAAATTTTAGTACGCTGAAGTCATACAAGAATGACAAAGCATAGATGATCTTAAGACCTAGCTAAGAGAAAGTATGCTCAACTTTTCAATTGATTTTTGCATGACACTATTGCCATTTAACGAATCATAATGAGTGGTGAAAAACTCTGTTTTAGTTCGGTTGTTCGATCATCGTTTGCTGAGTTATAAGCGTTTAATTCGACTTTCTCCTATGAGCATAGGAATACTGAGAACCTCAATGATTAAATTTCGAGCTGAAATTTTTTGTACAGATATATTTTATGGTTACTAGAAACAATCTAGATTTAAACCAGAACGAACGTATTGTTGCTAAGATAGTTAGATTATAAACAAACGCTTGTTTTGGACTGTATTTCAAAAGAAGGATGTTTCTGTGACAAGCTAACATCTCGATACAGATACATTTGTCCTAGCTCAGACTTTGGGTCTTTCTAGTGACCATAAGACTTATCTATGAAAAAAAAATTCTAACTCAAAATTTGAGCAACCAAGTTGTCAGCTATCCTATACTCACTCATAGAACAGCAGTAAAAAGTATGCCTAACAATTGACAAGCGAAAACAAGAAAGCCAAACCGAGATGGATTATGTTTTCGAACTATTTACGGAATGATTTAGTAATCATCCATTGTTAAAGAGATGAAGCAATACTATCTTCTATCTTTTGTGAGGAAATGTTTTATTACATCCTGGTAAAATTTTCTCAAAGCAAAATATACTACAGAGGCATTGTGCTTGGAAATACAACACATTAAAAATTCAGTTTGATAATTTTCACTTAGGTAATATTTATATTAATGACATCAGAGTCCTTTATCAAAATTGTATCTTTATGTTACTCTGATCTGATTCTTTTCTCGTAAGGAATAGCTTTCAAAAACTAAGAGAAATAGACTATTGTGTAGGAAAAAAAGCAGTTTCTATCATCTAAGATATCACGTGCTTCAAACTCCCAAATGATGGAAACGAAAAGTGCTAAATACGACCAGAATTGAAAAAGTCGATTTTTTCAGCATGATAGGAAAATTTGTAGAATTGAGGTTCTGGCCATTTTTTACCAGTAAATAGGGATGAGCTGATATTTCGATTTTTTTAATAAACTTTTATAGGCTTATCAATAAAATTATCAAAATCAATGTTTCAAAAACTTCCTCAGTCGACCTCTGCTTATATTGGTCAGTCTTCTGGCGAACCCTCACTTAAGTATGTTGATAAAAAAACATTTTGTTTACATTGCACATTATGAGACAGAATAAACTCAGAATGTTTACCTTATAAGAAAGAACTCTTGACAGGTGTATTTACTTGGACAAAGTATAACAGTTACAAATTCATGCGCATTACCTGGACTACGCATGAATTCTTTTCGCTTACGTATGACCAAATTTCTTTTAAGTCAACATTCTAGAATAAAACTTCAACCGAAAGTAGACTACTGAAATAGATTTTCGCCAGCTTCACTAAATCAAGCAATTAGTTCTACAGTATAGATCGTCATCGAGCCGGTATGACAACGTTTCGTCAATGTCGGACAAGTGTAACGACAGTATAAAACCATTCACATTTAAATCTGTCACTTATTCAAACCATATGTAACTTCAATCGTATGAACATGTAGCATCTCATGATTCTATTATTAATTGGTAGCTTCTGCCTAACTAATATTTGAGATATATTAAAATAAGAAATAGTTAACAAGTCAACTCAAAATTCTTGAATAAGTCATTTTTACGACAACTCTATACATTCTATACTCATTTTTATTTCTAGCTGTTTTATCCAATTGATATGGGTTCAGTTAAAAGATAAAACAAGCCGGATCGAACTAGTTCGCAAACAACAATAATGATGAAATAAAATCAGATAGGTGAGAAAGTGAAAACCAACAAAAACAATGAGTATCCTGTTCTATCACACACACATACTGTGTAACAAAAAACCGAAAAATAAAAGAAAACGCGACGATAAGAATGCAACACGCGCACACCTATATTTAAACAGTGAAAATCGTCATTAATGTGTGTTATTTTCAAACGTTATACTCACAATGAATCGTGCTGTATTAGACGAGCTTCTTGCTCATTCTTTCAAGAACTATCAAGCTCTTTTCAATCATCGTATGTTTCACAATCATAATGCTCATCATTTGGGATCTTTATACTTTTTGGGTGCAAATGACGCAAGACTGAAACAGATATACAAATTAATGTGTGACATAGTCGATCCGTACGAACCGTCACCTCATGAAATTACTCGTTCTAATTGGCGAGAATTTCGTGGTAACAAACAATATTGTAAAGCCTATAAAGATTTCTTCGAGCAAGAACTGACTGCAAGTGGAGACAATTGGAGAAAGAAATTTCTGGATTTATTGTTAGAAGATAAAGCGGAACCGATGATCAACAGTGTCGTTTGTGGTTTGTTACATCCTTTGATACATATTGGCTATGCATTCGAATTAGATAGTTCAATAGTAGCTATTGAAGCGTTGACACAAACTGCTGTGTGTGATACTCTACTCCACAAAGTGATCGATCACTTGAAACCACCTAAATTGGGTTCAAAATCGGTCATAGAAGTGTTTCAAGATATTCATTCAGATGATCGATTATCGATTGATGATACAACACCAATATTCGATAAAATAAAACTGGTTGTAGAAAATCTGAACGATCTTGTCCTATATCATTATGATCAATGGAAGATTAATGAAAACAATCTTGAAAAAACAATTGAGGATATGTTCGATTTTAGTGTTTATATTTATGGTGCTACCCACAAATCCGATAAGGCTCGATTCGATTTCTTGTTCCTTCATTTGCTCACTGGAATGCACGCCATTCGTGTGATATATCCACATTTCGACGATCAAAAAGTGGCCGAACACATTCTTCTCCAATTTTTCTATTTTGCTTGTGTTCTCTACATTGCTAATGCTCGACCAAAAATTAATAAAAAACTAATCGATGATTATGAAGTTGACAATAGCAAAAACAATTGGGACTATGTAATCGATCGAACATTAAATTCAAGTTTAGCTGAAATTATGCATTTGGTGAAAGTTGTGCATTCGTTGAGAGCTGCAGAAGCTGCTTATGGTGTCAAAAATGGACTTTATTTGAAAACGGCTGTGAAAACTGTAGACAATCTTAATGTGGATGATCCATGGGTTGGAGCGTCAGACAATCCTCAACATTTGATATCACTTAAAAATCAATAGTTTATTCTTTATATATGTATTAATCAAACTTTTTTCTTGGATCAATCCTATTATATCGCACTCTATTTTCATTTCATTTTTCATTGATAAGGTGTTGATATCCTCTGTTTACCTAACAATAACAAATGTATTACACGTGATTAAATAGAATGACATAAAAGCCTACGACATTCTACTTATTCATGGAGTAACTAAATATACCGTAAACTTTTCATAATAATATTTATATTTTTTTCTGTAATCGATGTGTAATCTTTTTTCGAAAATAAACTGATTGTACTAAACCGAAAAAGAAGTGAATGTTAAAACAATTCGATTGTGTGAAAGTTTTGTGACACTAGAATTTGTACAGAGAGAAACGGTAGATAATATATGCGATACAATGTCCTATAAACTCGCTCAAGTCTACAGTGAACGAAGTTAAGTTTACTATTGATACTCGTAGAGCTCTAAGGAAATGATAAGCATTTGCTATGAGTATCGAAATCTGTGTTGGGTCAATGTGATTTTGAATACGCAATGTTTTATGACCATCGTAGTCCAAACAGTTCTAGTGATTCTATACCATGTAAGTAGTCTTTATGTTTGTTGTAATAATTGAGGACTGACTTTGTATTGGCTTCCACGTTGATATATTGACTGCAGCCATTTTAGAGTAGTAGTGCTTTTCAAACAAGGATCTAACGATTTGGTGAGTCATTCAGTGCTCAAAAGAAAGAAACTCTGTGCATTCGTAGTCGGAGACAATTTTAAAATCTTCATACCATTAATAAAAGCGTTAGGCTAATTGGAAACAAATCATCATTTATTCAGTGTTTGGATTCCAAGAACATTGGCGAGATGGCAATCCACATTTAGATTACTGGCGACAAAACATACAAGAGACTGCAAATTTTCTAGTGCTACTCGAACATCAATACCAAATTATTATTCATGGTTTCTTGCAAACAATCCAGATCAGCAAAGAATGTCAACTATAGAAACAACTGACTAGAAATGAGTAGATCGGGAATTAGAAAAGACAAGAAATATCCGAATACAATAAGTCGAAGAATATCGTATTTACGTTGTATTTTATTTCTACAGTCGAATGCAAGTGCAACAATCCATTATGTAATCTTGAGTGAAGACGAAAATATTTAAAATTCTTGTTTCTGCTAATGTGACAACAAGATATATAATCGATGCCTACACCAGAGCGCTCTTATCTAGAGTGTGCTGAAAGTAAAGCTTTTTCATGGTGAAGATGAACTATTCTTCAGAAATTATGAATATAACAACTACTAATTATGCTTGTGACACACACTCATGTCTCTGAGTGGTGCAACAGCAATGTCTCAACAGAATCCAAGAATATTTCATTATGTAGAAATTAAAGTGTATATTCTAGTGATAGGACTTGTTCGGTTTCAAACCGAACCGAACCGAACCGATTTCGGTTTTTGTTCGAAATTTTGAAAAATTCGGTCGGTTCTGTTCGGCTTGGTTTGAGATTTTTTCGGTTTGGTTTCAAATATTCGGAACCGATTTCATAAAAATATATATTCTAACATATTTGTTAACTTGTTCACTAAAACTGAATGAAGAAAGTATAGCACATTTTTATTATTTACTAAATTGTTTCATGAGTCTTCAGTCACTAGCAGTAGTTTGGTTCATCATTCAACACATAATTTTACAGACAACATTTTAATAGGAAGCACTCATATATATACATATAAGTAACTAGGAATTGATTATTAATTTGTATTAGTTTTTAATGCACTAATTACACCTCGCTTTGTTTTGAACTTCAAAATAATCTTTAACAGACGGCAATAAAGTTAGAAAAAAATGATCTAATTGATATCTCAAAATGGATAGTTTTACTGAGATTTTCAGACATTTCACGTTTAGCCAGTCATAGTGGTTATTACTTTTCAAACTGTAAAAAACGAAACGAAATTTATAATTTTGACGGAATCGTTATATGTTGAAGGACAACACTTTCTTTTTCAATAGATGTGTTTCTCACCATGATTAGTTTATTATATTCAAGTGCCCCATCACTCCGAAATCATACAGTAGAAAGATACAGAACAATGGCTAGAAATTACGACATATATAAATTATTTCTCAAAACCTAGACTATATGACATTTTCACAGAACGTCCATTAAAGAATAATAACCTGCTAGTTGAAACAAGTTCTGCTCTTTGCACTGAACGACGAACGAAAACGCAGTGAGTCGTTTTTCATTAATAAAAAGATTGGCTATCCACTACAAATACGCTGCAGTCTTTTCTAATGGGAAAATATTTCTAACATAAAAACGAAAATATCTATGTTTTTAACATTGTATGCAGCTCAATTTTCTAGGTCACTCTTAGAACTATCGAAAGCGTTATTAAGCATGTCTTCAATAAATTGTTGTAAGTGAATATCCTAACAGAAGACTAGAATCTGATAAACTTTTTTCTTGATTTTTGGGTGTGGGTGCGGTTTGAAATTTTGAAAAATTCGATCGGTTCGGTTCCAAAAAAATACGAGCCAATTCCATCACTGGTACATTCGAAGATCTTTACAAAGAATTATCAATACTGGTGTTTAGACAAATAAAATCAGCAGATTTCTGAAATGTTTTTAATTTTTTTCGAAAAGATTATCATGAAGCTCAAGGAACAAAACTGTGTCAAGCGTAATCAGCACAACGGAAACCATAGGTAATAGTCGTATTGTTCATTGACAATGCCTGTTATTATGTCGATTCTGAAACAAAGGAAATAAATATACTATGTGTCCGATGAAAGGTCATTTTTTATACATTTAGTATTCTCTTTTGTATTACATCGTCATTTGTAAATACTTTAAAGTATGTATGGTACCAAATAAAAAGTACGTATGAAAAGCATGAATTTTTACTTATAAATAGGACTGCAATCGCCATGAAATAAGGATTGATATGATGTCGATAAGACACAGTCGTGAATTATTTCAATATTGTATTGTATTTTAGAGTATTTGCTGCCATCGCAATATTGCCTTGCGCATCACTGATTTATATGCTACTATGTTTAAGAATAGAATGATTAGGCACATTTCGTCTTTGCATTCTATAGAATCACACGGTACTGATGTGAATAGACATACGCAAATGGTTACACACTGTATCGAACAAGTTATTTTGTCATTCAAACATCTGTATTTATTTGTAGTGAGCTACGACGGTTTCTTTAATGATGATCTATGACTATTAAATTAAGCATATGGCTGGAAGACGTAGTGATGTTCACTATTGTACGTATTCGACCGAAACATCAATTTACAGCTAATTAGGACTGCAAACTAAATGAAATGACAGTATAGAATAACATTTTTGGTCATTCCGACGACTTTAATCATCATTATGCATATGTTTGATACAAGTTCTTTCAGAGAATTCATAGTGGGCATGTTTGTTTTCGAGTACTTTATTGAATATCCACAATTATGCATTAATGTCAAATATAGTCTGTTCTCTCTAAAGTGTTTCCAAATGTTTTTACATTAACATCAGCATTTCTAATAGAGAAATAAAGATAAATGAAAATAGTCAAGCTTTGACTTATGTAGATTTTCATGGAGCTGCTCGATGTTGCAAAGGACGATAGCAAATACATAAGTTTTTAATTTTCCTTAAAAATTGTTTTCGAAATTGTGATGAAGTGATACAAAATAAATAAAAACCAATACCAAAATAGACTGAACTCCACATGAGAAGAAATGCTCGCATTAATGCATAAAACGTAAAACTATCTAATGCCTCATAACCATAATAAAGAGTATAAATGCTAAATGGTATTTGTGTTATAATATATGCTATTACATTTGCTAAAACCATTAAAAGTAGCATCCGATCAAAAGTTGTTATTTGTCGTCGATTTTCATCATTTCTTTTATTTTGAATAGATGTTGGAATAGTAATAGTTGCGACAGGTGCATGGTGAGGCGTTGTTTGCTGTATAATGCGTTGTTTCGCTTGTCGAATATTATAAAGCATTCGGCCACCACATCCAACCATAACAATAGATGGTATAACACAAATTAATATGAAGCGAATCGGTGGCATAATATTCAGAGCAATTCGACGAAATATATCATCATATGGAAATGAACAGTGATCATCGCTATCCAGTACATTAAGTGGATGGAAAAAAAATGCATATAATAACATTGAAAATAGACAGTAGATTATCAACAGTTTAACAACAATTTTTGTTGTACACCATATACGTGATTGAATTGGGTATTCTGAGCGAATAAAACGATCCATTGATACCGTAGTCGCTAAAAATGAACAAACTGTACGTGTTGCATTTTGTAACCATAATATAAACTGGCATCGAAATATATCGTATGGTAAAATTTGAAATTCAAAAATGCTTGAAAGAAATTCAAAAATTAATGATAGTAGATGTATTGTACTAAATATATTAAGTAATAAAAAAATAAGACCTGTTGACACTTGACGTAATTCTTTTTGTATGAAAAGTAAAAACGATAAAAGATTTCCAATAAATCCAGCAACATAAATTAACACTCCTAGAACAGCTGTACTTAAACGTAATCTTTCCATTGATGTTGAAATTGTTTCATCCATCTGAATTGTTGCATTCATCGTTTCTTTATCGATGTGAAACTAATTTTTTTTTTTACTTCTGGAATTTTTTATGCAAACATATTTTAATTACAAATGATGGTAGGGATTATATATTCTGAAGAATGAATAGTATACGTTAGTCACATTTTTGACGGTAAAAGAATCTAATTATACAGCCTATAGAGATTATTTTTTACAGATGAACTTATTATGAATAAGCTATTTCAATCTTGACATGCATGCTCTCTAAATGTATTTTATAAGAAAGAATGTATATTGTTTGATGTTAATTACTAGATATGTTAGATGAAGCTAGTTTTATTTAAAAAATAACAGTTCATATTTTTTTCAAAGGTAGCTTATTTTAATCTTTCTTTCAAGC